AGCACTATCGCCTTTATACACAAGAAGTCAGATAGTTCTTATTGAAGAAATTATATTCATATAAATATCCGTCAAGAGCTGTTGTATGAGAAGACTATGAATTACCTACCTATAGAAACGAACATAGAAAGAAAGACGTTATTGCACAACTTGAATATAATACACTTTACATAGTACGATGATAACTGTTTTTCATCGGAGGTCCGAAGTGGAATGTGATGCAAATTATAACCCCCTCCTAGTGAGGGCTGGCAGCCGCAAGGCGAGTCAAAACAACGAAGGAGGCTAAGGGCATGCAATAATGTTGTAAAGCCCTATGCCACTTCGCGTCGTGGTCCTTCTATACCATAGATAATACTAACATGATCCTTTCACCTTATACGACCTCACTTTTTATAAGTTTTTGATGATGTAGTGCAAAAAAATAACAATAATTATCTAAGTTCAAAACACATTTTTTACCCACCTGTGTAGCTTATGGCGCCGAATCTGGACCTTTATTTGAGAGAAAAATGTGCATTGATCTCCAATGTCAGGAGATTATCCTCCCATTTTCAGACGTTTTCTACGTAGCGTACTTATTTAGATCACGTGGCGCACATTTTGCAAAAAAATTCTGGAAGAAACGCAGGATCAAGACGAACAAGAGAAGATTTTCGAGCGGAACAAGAGCTTCCAGCAACATAGTTGTCTTTAAGAGGAAATATTCTGCTTTTTTTGAAGGCTCTAAGTTTTCTTAGAAATGATTTTGGAATCTTTTTAACAAATGCATTTTGTAGAACAAACATTTTTCTACAAAATGAGATGTTTTATAGCTCTGAGCGAATCGTGATAACTGATATATAGCAATTCTCTCGGATGCCCCAACACCAGTTTTTAACTGGTGCATACCTAGTTCATATCCGGATTACCGATACAAAAAAGTAAGAAAGTATGCGAAACTGGCTCTGCAGCGCGGATGGGCTCTTCAGACACGGACCGTAACTGAAAAGTTTACGGATCAACAAAAACGATTTTTAGACACAAAATTCGAAGAAGGTTCAAAATGGTAATAAATGGAATGCAGAAACAGTGGAACGACAAATGCAAGAGATCGAAATCGACGACGAGTTTGTATTCACAATTGAATATTAGCTAACCGCAAAACAGATCAAGCTGTATTTCTCGAGGATGGTCGCTAAACAAAGGAATGCCTCATCCCAAGCAAGTGCAGCGGAAGAAACGTAGGATCAAAAGAACAAGAGGAAGATTTTCAAGTGGATCAAGAGCTTCCAGCAATATAGTTGTCTTTAATAGGAAATATTCTGCTTTTCAATGCTGTAAAAAACTAAAATCACCGACGAATACGATATCCCAGCAAACAGAGTACATGTCTGATCATACGCCTTGTTTTCTGTCACCAAACATGTTCAAAATCCTTGAAAACATGAGACATTTTCTAGAAAGCTGCTGGAACTCCGATGAATGTTAGAGCGTTCTAAGAAATTAATAGTATACCATAGTTTCTATATATTCTGCGCACACATGACTTATTAGAGATAAGCAAAGGTTTCCAGAAGACCAATGTCAGTTATCTGTAAAATCACAATACTGCAGACAGGCAACAGTTCTGAGCCTACTCTAACACCTTATTGGAAAGAGAACAATTTTCTCTCTCGAATGAGATAATAAAGTTCATTTGCTGATTTAATCTGAATTTTTTAGAGTGGCTTAAATAAAAATTATTTTGAACATAAAATCATCATGTTTACAAAAGTCAATTGAATTTCCACTAGGATTTTTACACTCTGCTCAGTGTTGATATGATCCTTAAAATTTGTATCTAGAACTTATCTGTAGATTATGAGTAAAATCTTGGAGTGATTTATTTATGATCAACTGTTTCATCATTTGACCGTAGAATGCTTTATGATCAAAGCTCATTTGTTCATTTATATGTTCACAATTAAACAATAACAAAAACTTTCTTTACAGAGCTCCAAATGGGCATGGCTGGGCCTAAGAATAGTTGGCCCATGGTTTTTGCTTTAAAAATTTTCCAGCGCTGTCCATTCCATGCATTGAGCCGGATAGCTCAATAATTTCATATTTCTCCCAACGACTCATGTCAAAAACTTTCATGTTTTTTCCCATCACAGGGTATTCCTTCAAAAGAACTTCATGTTTGCCCTTGGAAGACCTGCTGTTTCTTCACAAGAACTTCACGTTTTTCTCAAACACCCACTGTTTCGTCACAAAAAAGTCTAGCTTTTTGTTAAAACACTCGGTGTTGCTTATAGTCTTCTAGACAGGACGAAGATGAAATCTTGATCGTTGTATAGATAAGGAAAAAAAAACCTTTAATGCTTCATCGACCTCATTTTTTCTCTCTTCGTGAACATCATATGTAACGTTTGGTGTTCTCTTCTTTCGGCTGTACGAAAAGCATTGAAGTCATTTGATATCTATAATTTAACCAAACTTAGTTTCATGTCTGATCGAGATGCTGATCTAAGAGAAAAGCTCTTCAAAATTATGAAATACTATTTTGTTTTCCACATCGTCTCAGCAATGTCTTAAAGAGAGCATTTTTCCAATTGAAAATCAATCGGACGTCAACAGAAGAAGATAAAGAAACATTTAAAGCAAGAAAACAAATAAAAGACAATCAGGCAATGCAAAAAGATTTGTACGATACATAAAACAAGGTACTTTATTTCCATTGAGTTTTGCGTGGATCAATTCTCACCCTCATGTCGGTTTGCTCCAAGAGAGCAATTATATTTACTGGGAGTCAATGAGAAATATAAGGCAATGGAAAATCCCACCAAAAGACCCTTAAGATGATGATGAGCAAGCGTAAGAAAGCATCTATAGAAAAAGGAGAAATCAATTGAGCGATGGACAGGTAAGAAATGAAAACATGATGTGAAGAAAAAAAAAATCCATGGTACGAAAGACAGAAGGGAGAACAGCAAGAGAAAAAGGATATGTTCAATGATAAGAACAAGAAGGATAGTTCTAATGGCTGCATCTGGACGAAATACAGATCATATCAAACTTGAAGTATCTTTACGTTTCCATCTATAGTCCCGAAGTTCTTTCTAATGTCGTAGTCAAACCAGAAAACTGTTACTAGGTCAATACAGCGGAACAAATTTCTCGATATTTTTTATTTTGCCATTTTCTTGTTTAGAATGGTCTCAGCAAAGATATACAAGCTAATGGTGATGTTGCGTTAAAGCAATCCACGTTGGCCAGGTGATTATCATTGATAGACTTATTGAAGAATTTTAAATCGTTTTAAATTGAAACAGTTAATTTGTTTACTTAAACCATTCAAACATGTACTTCAGCTGGTTAAAAGAGGCGACAGTCCATCGTCATATATGGGTCTTCCTTGTACATTAACTTTAAGAAAAGCATTGAGCATCATTTGATGAATTGTTAAAATATCAAACAATGATAAAGAGCAAGATGATGAAGAAGATACCGATGAAGAATCGAAATTACTATCTGAATCAGAAGGTAAATCCAAGGACTTATCTGTTGATTCACAAATTATATTTACGAGATTCTTTAATCGTTTTAGGTCTTCATATACTCCTTTTACGTTTATTACAGCTTTTCAATATTATGTTTGTATAAAATGTACGTCATTACACTGCTACATTATTACACCTACGTTATCGTTATGTTCGAGAAGAAGTGAACAGAATTCTTAATCAATCAAAACAACATCACCAAGACACGTAAAGTTCAATGGTCTATTTTGGAAGAATATGAAGTCGGTAATGGAATTAATTTAACAAAAGCGGGAGATAGTAGTTCAGGAAGCGAAGACTATGTCTTTAAAGCATTACCACCCACATGAATTAACAAGATGCTTGACAATGGACATTAGTAAGTCGAAATTGTTATCGAACTCACTTGATTTCTAGAGATAATACCAAGAACTTTATCTGGTTTTATCAGCATTGGTCAGGTAGATACATTCATCAGGTGTTGAAAGATGTTTTAGCTCTACTAGATTCATTGTGAATGAGCGACGAACATCTTTACATTCGAATCAAATTGATAATATAATAATAAGTATGCAGAATGAATTCAATTTTGCAGCAATTTTAGAGGTTAAATTTGGTCCAAACTGGATCGGTTCAGCTGGAATAAGAACTTGAATAGTATCAAAAGGTCTATTTTCATTGTAGCAGCGCAGATAGAGCAGTACTATTCGACAAATTAGGTTGCGATCAAAGCGCTGACAAATAGTTCTGAAAGAGCACCTTAATTGTTCAGTCGAAATACAAACAGTTGTCTGCCCAAGTTCCTATAACTTGGAAAAATTCCGACCAAAAAACAAACAAAGTAAAGATTAGTGGGAAATTGCATCATCAGGCAAAGTCTCTTTCTTTGCTTTATTATAAAAGAATAATCAGAACAAGTTAGTGTGACTCATCACTTCTAGTTTTGCAGAGAATTTAAGACTTTCTGATTTATCTGTGCTGAAATATTCGATGTCACAATCATTATGTCTTATCCGGGAAGTCTCTTAGATTAACGTTAGGAGTGAAAAAGTTGATGCGCAATCGCGACTTATTGAATATTCAATAAAACATGAGAGGCAACATTTCCGTCCCATAAACGTTCAAGAGAAAAGTCTGTTTAGGTTGTTCTTTTATATCAGATCGATCAGATTGAAAGAAATCGATGGAACAGTTAGTAGAGAACCATTGCAGGATATCGATAAATACTAACATGATGCAAATAGTTCGATTATTAATTCTATTGAGTAATCTTTTTTAAGTTAAAAAGAATTCCTCGTTTTCCAATTCATTCAAAATTGAATCTTTAGGCTAAAACTGGAACGGATTAGTATTATTTTTCTCGTGCATGATCTTGAATTCCCCGGAATTTGGTTGTTCTGAAGTTCTGAAGTAGTACTGCTCAAAAAGAGTTCGACAACAATAGTTTCCGATCGATGATCATCAACGAAAGCAAAAGTTTCGAAAATAAATTTTTTTTCAAAAATAATCTCGACAAGGACATTGTCCATTTGGATGGAAATGATGCGTACGATTGGTATCTCGAACAATTATCAAACATTGATGAATTCGAGCGATCAATTTAATGAATGTATCTACGAGAAGATCACAATGAAAGTTTTCCAAAAGATCGAATGAGAATAACTTACGCCAATCTCCACAAACACGAAGATTTTTCAGTATTTGGATACATGATGGAACTGGCTGTTGAATCAGATTGAAAGCAATTGCCAGTCTTTCACTGTGTCCAGATAATACTGATTCTCTAGTTTCGTCATTCATCATTGGTCGAGTAATCCAACATGTGTCGCACTTGTAGCCATGTTCGATCAGTCCATTTGTCAAACGTTCTAATTCAGCATAGATTTCTTCAGATCGCGGATGCGATCGACCATGCGCTCGAAATTTCTGAACAAAGAAGGAAACCATTTGTACTTTGATCATTTCCTTCAATTTTTTTTTCACTCACCACTATTTTCCCATCGACTACAGTCCACGAAAGACCGGCCATTTTTTTCATACCCGATTGATTCATTTTCATTCGAATATCTGATGCTGTAGACCAATCGCCACCTAATGTATAAGTATTAGCAAGAAGAACTGTTGTTGATGTAACATAATCCTGTTGATCGTGAAAATGTGGTGAATATGATCGAAGATCTTCTGTGCCAGAGACGAATTTCGTTGATTACGTGCAGTCGAAAGTATCGACACTGAATGAACAAAATCGAGATGATATTTGATTAATGAAAACTTACTATACATCGAATAACAAGGAGAATGAAATTATTCGAATTCTGAAATTAATTCTTGTGCTTCGTCGATTAGAACAAAAAGAATAATACATCTGAAGGTTGTATCAATAGAGCTGATACACACTTATGATATTGTTCAATCATCGAATATTCTTTCTTCTTTTTTCGTTGAACTCTATTTATCAAAATTCTTTCTCTTATGTGATATAGAAGATTTTTCATCAAAGATATGATCTCATAGGAAAGAATCATTTACGAAGTGAGAAATTCAGTACAATGCTAATGGTTTATGTATTAGTTTCTATCAAATTACACTATAAAGAGATGAATATTATTGAACATGAGATATGTGAAGTGATTTCAACAGGATAAAATTTATTGGTCTACTCTGTCCTGTCCTTTCTTTTTCTAGGGCACCACCAATCCAATTATGCAACTGAATATCACCAATCGTAGTTTTAAGATGAAAATCAAGAAATACATCACCCAATATCAATGCTATTCTTTCATTGTTTATCTCTGATCTAGAACACGAAGAACGAAAAAAAAGTGTCAACTTTTTGTGTTAGCAGTGCTCAAACGAACACTTTGTGACTCGTAAACAGAAATTGATAATTAATTCTAAACAACCATGTCTTACCTTTCTCGGTGTACATAGTATTTTTTATGAGCATGGAAATTTCTAAAAATAGATCAAACAGTAATGACTCATATATAGAGCGTTGTTGTTCATAGAACATACGTGTTTCAATGAATTCCGTAGTTGAATGATACTTATTTATTGTGCCCATAATTAATATTATCTGTTGACACGTCTTAGATAAAACGAAATAAATCTAAAAGAACAAACGATAACGCATAAAGCATTGTGTATTCACTTCCGTTGATGACGAATATCATGTTTTATAGATTCGTTTTAGTAACCGAAGTAGATGAGAAGATCAATAAGGTTTCGATGTGTGATAGATGCATGATTTTTTTCTCACAAATTTTTAACACAAAATTATTAAGTCAAACTAAATTTATCATACAAGTTTCAATTGAGAATGTTCCTAAAATCATTTGAGATTAGAATATTAAATGCTACTGCTTGAGGAAGTTTCATTTCGTTCGCATGAAGTCAATGTTTTCAAATGAAATATATATATATATTTATTAACAAAATTTGTAAAATAATACAAAAAAAAGAAAACATACTTGTTCGATGCGATTGAATGATGCAAAGACAATGTAAACAATTCAATCTGAAAGAGACAAAAATGATTCATAATCTTTTCGTACTTGAATCAATTTCCTTTCAAACAATGAGTATTTCGATATCTCACAACAAAGATAATCATCCATATCTCTCTTTCGCATCATCGATCGTAATTTTCTATTGATAAAACGGAGCTAAAGCAAATATTATGTCGGATCGATGTCGAGTCTTTTGCAGCTAGACGAATAATGTCATCTTGTCGTTCATTGGCAAATATCGCTAATTTTAAAATAATGAAGGAATGATCTCATTTCTTCTGATCATCTTCTCTCTCAACGTTGATGTTGACGCCATTCTGCCAATATAAAAGAAAACTAGAGGCATTCTAATTCTCACTTGCGTTCTGATCCGATCTTTCTACCTAGTGACAATGTTGATCAAAAGAATAGACATGGTCGGTGCTGAGTTGGCCTCTTTAAAATTAAGTAATTGAAAAAACTCGGAATTTCAAAGATGAATCTAACGATCTCATTTAATGTTCATGATGGAAAAAAATGTTGAAGACAGACCAGAGATGAGACGGCCTGCGAAAGTTTCGCGTCCTTTCGTATAATACGAAAGCCGTGGTGTATATAGTTTTTCTTTCTGTCGATGATATGTGACGTGCTAGTCTATACGAAAGTGAAATTTCACTTTTGTATGTTTCAAAATGGCGAAAGAAAAGAAAGAATCATTTTTGTCTCTTTCAGATTGAATTGTTCACATTGCCTTTGCATCATTCAATCGCATCGAACAAGTTTTATTCAAGCATTCTTTAATAAACAAAATCCTTTCAAAATCTTATAGAGTCACTTGGAGTAATTATGGCCAGCACCTCAAATTTTCATAGTATTTTGAGCATATTTAAGCCGTTTTCAAATGGACATAGACGAAATTGACCATGTAGGTAGACCTGACTCTTGGCTATCTGTTGTTGTTGTTT